AAGCCTATGGGACCTGCCGACCGGCGCATCCGCACCCAATTATTTTGCAGCATACAAGGCCACATATTGCACAAGTGCATGCTAGTGAAAATAGTTAAGCAACTGCATAAAGAGTAAAATTGTGCCAGCGCCGGCGGGCGAACCAACAGAACTGGCGGTGAGAAACACCGGCCCGTTACGCCTATAAAGTGCGCAACTGATGAACTCTTGAAATCCTACGCGCAGTATAAGCGGCCACATTTCTATGGCTTTTATCTTTGCCAGATCTGGTTTGACTCATACTACAGTGGCACACCTCTCTAAGAAGATGACTGTTCGCATGAAAAATGAACAGGTTTATGCGTTGACAGACTAGCGCCTTTTGCGTAACTGTAACACCCCATGCCTCGGGTGCAGCAACTATTATTGAACATTCCTGCTAGCTACAAGCATGCAATGCATGCATACAACAACCCAGCCCCCATTTACGGGCCCTATTAAACTACCACTGCAGTTCCACAGCAGCCCAAATGGCGTATTGCTGCTCTTAAGGAATCATGGCTACTAGGAGCGTTTCGGGGGGCAGCGGCGAAGAAACCTCCGTAGCGTTTAAGTGGTATCTCAGTAAACAGTTAACCTTCAAGAATGTTGAACTATATTTGTAATCAAGGATAGCAGTTTATTTCTGCTTGTGTATCCATTCAACTAATATAACCGTGGCAGAGATCGCAACAGCAGGGCAGTGCAACTCACCCTTTTCGGGGGAAAACTGTTGACAATGCATGAGTAGAAGATCAACAGAACCCCGAACGATAACGTTCTGAATGAATCTAGTGAATGAGTATCTCGTAATAGGTCAAATTCGTTGCGTTTTTGTGCTATATTGCATATCGCCGGGTTTTTAATTTGTGTTATATGTTTAGATACTTGAGCAAACATTATCCGGTGCATATGCAGAAAGGTGGTCTACTAAGCCTTTACAATAACTGCTAGTTCTAAATGTTTTTGAAAGCCTATTGCTCCCAGAAGCGGATAGAAATCCGGAGCACAAACGTCAGCCAGGAAGCCCTGAGCACTGCGTATTTAAGGAAAGGAAAAAGAACACTGCGTATTAGGTAAAGGGAAATAGAATAGGGCTTTTGGCTACGAGGCGAGGAAAGAAAGTTTTTAACCACAACAACAGGATTCTTCAGCTTTGACACGATATGAAATCGAATGCAGTAAAGCACTCGCACGGAAACATTTCACTCTCACATCAGCACGAGAATAAGCCCAGAACAACTGCAAATGCAACAGCCGCCAGACTCAACACAGAAGAAGATGCATGCGACGGCACCTCAACCGTCGGAAGGGTTGTTCTTGTGGTGCTTTTTGTGGTTGTTGTAGTTGCTGTTGCTTCTGTTGTCGTGGTTGTTGCTGTTTCTGTTGTGGATGATTCTGATGTGGCTGCTATTGTCGTTGTTTCTCCTGTTGTCGATGGTGTTGATGCGGGTGTTGTTGGCGATGTCGTGGTTGTTGTTGTTGCTTCTGAGGTAGAAGACGACGGATCCGTCGTGCTTGTTCCTGTGCCACTGTCGCTGGTGCCGTCGCTGGTGCTGCCTTCGTGGGTTTCCGCAGATGCATCCTGGGGCTCACCTGCAAAGCACGCGGACAACAAACCTCTGAAAGCAGGTCAAGCGTTGCTGCGTTGTTGCTGTCGTCTTTCTCTGAACATCTTTTCCATTTGCTTGCTGCTTCTGTCTTTTGTGATTTCCTACTTGTCGCTTCCCTGTACTGCTTCACATCTTCGCCTGCAAGCAAAGCAACCCACCAACCGCCGGCAATTGGGGCCCATAGAAGTACAAGTGTGATTGCTGGGGGGTAAACAACTATAATATTAAAGGAACTCTGTCTGCGTATAGCAGCAACCACTTCACTGGAGTGGTGTTTGTTGCATTGTTTGCTGCAACGGTGTAATAAGAAGTGGCGCTTTTTTAATAGAAAAGGTTTGAAATGGCGTTGAAGCGAAGAGGTTATATTCTAGGAGGAGAACAAAGCTATATATTAATACGAGAAGGTTCAGAGATATACGAAAAGACGACTGCGGGTTGATGGCGCATACAGTGTTTAAATAATTTCCTTTCTGTTTGTTTTTTTCTGCTTCATTTTCTTTGCTTCTATATGAAGATAGCGATGAAGGCGTACCTGTATTGACTCGTTCTATAAAAGAGATGCTGGCCTCAGTGCTCAAGGCACAGAAAGCAGTAGCTAAGAGAACAGCGAAGAGTCTGAGCAGCTCCATTTTCAGTTACGGGAAACAAAGAAGTATACTGGAGAGGAATGAAGATAGAAATAAAGAAATTAACGAAATATTACAGTTCAAATGAAGAAACTATGACGCAAATGTATATAACCTATTCAATACTTGAATGCTGCACAATCGGTAAGCTTCAGAACCGCCTGATCAGGGGTCGATGCCTATACAGAAACAGCAGCACCTACAGAAAAAAAAATAAGTGCGAGAGCAGTTTCCCGTTGCTAGCGTTGATAACAATGAAAAAAAAGTAGGAAATGATATTCTAGACGGGCGGAACATTTATTTTTC